GGCCCACAGGACAAAAAACCCTGCTATAGCTCAATTTCTGCTTTTTTTTTTTTTTTTTTTTTTTCCAAAGTGCAGGGCGTAAAGTAGGCCAGCTCCGTCCCCGAGCTATCTCTCTACCCTCTGTCACACTCTTCTCTCAGTGAGGGTGTGAACGTGATTTCGGGGCTCGGGCGTGAACAGCTGTGGAGCAGTCGTGACTGCGTGATCGTTGTCGGCGGCGCGCCGAAGCGGCGTTTCAGCACCAAGGCCAGGGCTCGCGGCGAGAACAATAGGCGGCTCGCGCACCGTGTGCCCAGGGACCGTCCTCTAAGTTCATCCCAGCAAATAGCCGCTAAAATCTGAGCGAATGAAAAAAAAATCTTTCATTACTACATTACTACAGTAACTCAAATTAAAAAAAAAATCTAATTTGACAAGGATTCATTATATTTCAAGTAAACATCTGTTGATGGTCTCAAAATAAGATGAATAAAGAAAATAAAGTTGGAGGAAAAAAATCATTGAGAGGACTTAAAACAAAGGTAATTTAGAAGTACTTCATCTATCTTCAAGGCACTCTGCCTTGCATATTTTAGATCAGCGGTCTCAAATTACATTCTTTAAGGGCCAGATTCCTTCAACTTTTACATGTCTCCCTTGGCCTAAATACTTTAATTAAATGTTGAAACTGCCACAGGAGAATGCAGTGAAGTTCTGCTAATGAGCTAATATGGAGCCAGGTGTGCCAAAGCATAGAAACGTAAAAGTCACAAGATGCAATCCTTTCAGGGTTGGAGTTTGAGACCCTGTTTTAGACGCTACACTGATTTACCACACCTGATGCAGATGATTGTAGTTCCGCAAAAAAACTCTGGTTAAGCACAACTGGAGATCCGCCCCTCTTGAATCAGATATGTTGAAAGTATCTTTTCTAGATTTAGGAGAAAGACTGGACTTTAGCTAATATTATGTTCAAATAATTGAACTAATATGGTACACTTAAATAACACTCTGCATTTCAAAAATCCAAATAATTGCTTTTAGTTTGTTGCTCCTGAATGGAGCAATAAACTAGTATGATGTAAGCTAATTACAAGTTAAGCTCATTGATAATAGGTATCTTTCACACATAGAGTAGCTTTTCTAATGATAAAGCATCTGGTGTTGATGTAATGGTGAAGGGGGTCCCCAAAATAAAAATCTGATGAGGCCCCGAAAAGGCTCGGACCAGCCCTGTGATTTATCAACAGGATATTCAACATCTCTAATTCCCGCGTGTTTTCAACGTGAACATGTTTGTTGACGGTCCCTTGATGTTACGTCACAGGCAAGCCATGAAGGGGGAGGGGCCTAGAGAGAGCGGAGGGACACCGGCATCAGTAGGACGTGAGAAGATACACAACCGTTGGACAGAAAATAAGCTCGAGGTAGCTGTCCGCTCATTACGGTGGGAACAATACCGTCACGGCGGAAAGAGGTCGTAACGCGAGGCCAGCCAAGTTCAAACAATCGTGAGTTAGTTTAAATTTAAAAAAAAACAAAACAAAAAAAAAAACAGTTCGGTTGCAAAACAGGAATTAAAAGTGATAACCATAGCTGGCGACGTCCACTTTTTGGTGAGAAGCTGTCAGCTGCCAGGACTTTCCTCCTTCTCCTCCAGGAGCACATTTTGTATTGTTTTGTTTGTTTACTCATTTATTTATTTTTAAAAACACACACACACACACACACACACACACACACACACACACACACACGTAAACAGTCGAGCCAGTTGTAGTAGTATCCGTATACGCCGAGGAGGAGGAGGAGGAGGGAGATCGCGGCTGGGCACAAAGAGCGGTGAGCACCCAGAGAGAGGAGGCTGGCGGACGGGACGGAGCGGAGCGGAGCGGCGAGGACAACAACGGGGACCCGACCGAGAGCATCTTTCTGATCTACGCGGGCTCCATGAGTGATTTTAACTAGCGGTAAGCTCTTCCATGTGTGTAGTCCTTAGGTTTGCATGTGTTGTTTTGTTCTGGGGTCTGTATGTATATGCGTGTGTACATTGAGAGGGGATCGGACAAAGAGCCGCGGAGCCCCATGACATCCGTGTGTGTGCACTAACCTACAGCTGCCTAAACAAAGAAACTGCTCCAGTGCAATGATTTCCATCCATTCTCATTCTGTTTCTCTGTTTTTCCGTCAACAGGAATCCCCAACGCCGTTTATCGACCAAAAAGGTAATTTCCCCCCCCCTCACAGATATTTTCTTTTATATATATTTAATTGGAGGGAAAGGTGCCATTATTGTTTTGTTGATTGGCTAATTAACATTTGCATAATTGTTTTCCCAGAAGGTACTGGAGCCCTTTGTCATCAAACAGGGCAATAAATACTCAAAATGACTGCTCAGATCCTTTTATTTGTTGGTAATTGGGGAGCAGATTTACATCTTTACTAAAATTATGCATTTTTACCAACAAATATGTTCACAGAAAACATGATGATGCTATTTTAAATACAATAAATGGCTTATTAAAAACATTGTAATAAATGTTACAGTTTTGCAGCTTTTTTTTGTTGCTTTTTTACTAAAAATCTAGATATCTAAATAAATGTTTTTTAAATGTTTTTCTCTTCCTTTTCAATCAGGACTTGTCCAGCAACAGCTGGTCCTCTCCAGAAATACCTGCTCCTGATCTGTTCATACCCCCCCACCCCACCACCCTCAGGTCCTGCAGCCATCACCTCCACTTTGTACCGATGAAGGAGGCCGACGCCATCAAGTTGTTTGTGGGGCAGATTCCTCGGAATCTGGAGGAGAAGGACCTCAAGCCCATTTTTGAGCAATTTGGCAAGATCTACGAACTGACCGTGATTAAGGATAAATACACCGGGATGCACAAAGGTAGGTCTCACCCACTTACTGTAAACAGTAAGCAGAGAGACAGACAAAATGACACGAGTAAGAAAGAAACAGGGGGGATGGATAGGCAGTGCTGAATAGACAGACAGTATGACAGTGAGGGAGTTAGATGGGTGGATTTTTCTGAGGCAGCTGTCAGATGTATCCATGGAAACTGTCACAGCACCTCGTGGATTCGTCTCCTGTTATCGCCGCGGTGTGAGAGCATGAAGACAGTCAGGAAACCTCACTTAGTGCACAAAGTTACGGTTGGACAGTTATCGTAAAATTTATCATTATCGTGGAAAAAACAGTTATGTTAGAAATTCATAGATATTGTGACATCGTTAAACTAATTGATGAAGTCTGCAAACCCTGAAAACTGGCAGGATGGTTGAGATCAATAGTTCTGCAGTTTTCCTGAATAGGAGGATAATTTAAAAGAATACATTTTTAAATATGATTTGAGGCAATTATCATGTTGTTTAGTTGTGGAATTGACAAATGAATTTTCAAAACCATTTTATCATCACTTTTATTGTAATCACAACAAATGCCTCAAATAATTGTGATAAAATCTGAAATTGATATCTCCCATCCGTACATGGAGCTATTCTGAATTAACTGGACATGGCTACTTGAGATGCACTGATCTGGCTTTTCTTAGCCAACACCAATTTAAAATTTTCTTTCAGGTTTGACGTTCAGATTTAAATCTTTGATTAATTTATGTTTGTTCTTTTATAAGAACTAGAACATCAAGAGAATACCAATTTCTCTTCAAGAAAATATTCTATATAGCCTGACTGCTTCTAGCGGTCATTAATTAATATAAAATATAGTTTAGCAGCAGAGGCAACTTTGTAAGGCCAGTCACTGCAAAACTGAATTATGCTGTTTTAAAACAGAGACATGAGTGTGAGTCGACTTTTTAACATGATTTAATATCCTACTAGTGATTAACGCAGTAACATTATTAACTGAAGACATCAGTCTCCCTTTGTATTCTCGAGAGATTTAGTGTAGAGTGCTGGCATTTCCAAATCCAGCACATTCATGACAGATAGAGGCTGGAATCTCAGAGCAACTTTCCTATAATTTGTGCAGCGTTCGTTTTATCTGCTGAAGTCGTCCTTTGAAAATCCAGCGAAACATAATAAAAGGTGGGTCAAAATTACAGTCCATTCTGGTCCTTTTTGTGCCCTCTAAAGTCAAGTATTAATCGACCTCAAAAAAATAATGGCAAAGGAGCGAAATAGCCTGCACCTGCCAAAATCTAGCTTGCTTCATAAATGACACAGTTTCCTTTGAAATGACTTCTACGGGTTTTTTTTTCTTGTTCTTACCTTATTTTTAAACACCTCTTTGATATTAAATATAGCTAACTTTGAGCCTTCTTCTCGCAGTAACAACTTCCACACTGAAGAGTGTTAGCGTAGATCTGGTACCACTTAAATTGAGCGCACGTACTGATCAAAAAAGATTTAAAGATTTAAAGTTGAAGGATTCTGGCCCTTATTTAGCGGTTTCCAGCCGGTCAGTCACTGGTTAAGCTAAAAAAAAAAAAAAAAAAAATCTCCCAATTCCGGCCATCAGCCAATTTCTCGTTGCGTCTCTATATATAATGCCATCTCTCTCACACACACAAACACACAGCCTTGCACAAACGGTGACCAGGGGTTCTTTTGGCTACATGAACCAGATTAGGCTGTGTGCTCCAATCAGTGTAATGGGACTGTAAGCCTGGGTGACACAAGGGAAAGAATTTGTTGTTTCGAGAATCCCCATAGCCACAGTAAGCCCCTCTTAAAAGCAATGAGATGGACGAGAAGATTCATGTGTGTCTTTGTGTGTGCGTGGCACGTGTGCCAGTCCATCTTAGTTATTCTGTTTTTTGTCCTCTCTTGTTTTGTTGAGTCACAATGAATTCATACAGATTCACACTCTGTGTGAATTAAACTCTTTAATCTGATTCTATGTAAGTCCGTGTGAGATGCCACAGCGGATGCTAACTTGCTGCTAATCTTGTTGTCTGATGTGCTGGTGACAGGTGTAGTAAACAGCTCTGCCCAGCCAGCTCTACTACTCACCCCCCCCCACACACACACTCAGACACAGGTACAGCATATAGGAGCACAGACGAGTGATGGCAAACTCTGCGTAGTGGTTGATTAAGGGCCGGACGCTGCCACAGCTACACAAACGTCTGTGCTGTCGTCATGTGCTCTGACTCGTGCCGTGGAGTCCTTACAAAAAATATCCTCACTATTAAGCTGTACGTTTACTTTTTTATTATCTTGCAAAAACATTGCAGAGTCGGAAGATTCAACCAGTTAAGCCTGTCACAATAAGCAATAAACCAATTCGTCACATGATCAATTAAATCAAGCTCGATTATTTCCATTTGCACAATTGCTTGTTTTCCACGTCTCTTTTTTTTTTTTTTTTCTATCAAACACTGGATGACAAAAAGCTTCAGTCTATTGCAATGGTCTCGACTAGCCCGTTGTTTTGACTGGCAGTTTCATTTATTTATTTGTTGTTCCAGGTTTTTTGTTGACTTATTTTGGATATTTAAAATCTCTTCCAGTTCCAGTGTTAAACATTTGTTAGAAATTAAAGGTTTTTTTTTTAATCTTTGAGAGTGGAAGCTTGGATTATTATGTCATTACCATTATATTACTGTAACATGGCCTCAAAACAACATTATTGTTTATCTTAATAACTCATGGTTCAATTTAACCCATAAAGTGATGTGGCTAGCAATAGTAAAAGAAAAATATAAATTGTTTGCTGGAAGATGATGCAGAAAAAGACCCATTTACTGACCTTTTGTACCAATACCCCTGCTCCCCCTCCTACCCCTCGCCCTCTTTTTCCCTCTGTTTGCCTCCTTCTTTCTGACAGGATGCGCGTTTCTGACGTACTGCGCACGAGAGTCGGCCCTGAAAGCCCAGAGCGCTCTCCACGAGCAGAAAACACTACCAGGGGTACGTGCTCAAAAACAAACAGCCATAAACACACACTTCCCATGGCACTAGGCAGCGCTTACTTATGCAACAATACACACAACCTTGCATATATGTATTAGAGATCCCACCCCCGCACCTAAATACATAGACATTTAGCGTGCAGGCAAATACACACTTCAGTGTGTGTGTGTGTGTGTGTTTGGAGGTTCTGCTCCCATTAGTAACACAGTGACATAACCCAGCAGCCGGCAGGCGTCTTGCTGCTAAGGACAAACACTCCCCCTCTCGCTGGAGACATATAGGGTGCTCCGTGAGCATTATCATCTCCATTTCTCTATCTTTCGCTGTCACTCCATCTCACCGTCGTTCCCTCCGTCAGCCTCCGGTGATAGCTGCCGTCTAGAGAGTGTGTGTAATTAATGTGACCATTCCCCTTTGTCTCATCCCAGGCTCCCTACAGTCTCTCTGCTGAGGGATTGTGAGCAATGACTGTGCAGGGGTAGGACACTGTTCATTATGGAGGGGGCACTGTGCAAGAAGAGCGTCTGTCTCATAGGCTGCAGCTCTCTATCTTTAGCATTTCCCTTTTTTTTTTTTTTTTTTTTTCCTCTGACCTGGTTTCCAGGTGTCTTGTTTGGGATATTTAGATCAGGCATTTTGTGGCTTTTATAATTACATGTGTCTTTGACGTGTGAATGATTCCAATATTTTATTATTTGAACTGCAAGACATAAGAGAACAAAAATGTTGAATAAGTCAGAAAAAAATGAAATAAGTTTTCCGGGTTTGTAGACTCAAAATAGAGAAACTCGTGAGTTTTGATGCATTTCATGAATTGGGAGTACAGTATATGATTTGTGCTATATATAAACAACAATTTACTGGACAGATCAAAGGAACATTAACCTATGTCAATGTCTTGACAATTTATTGGTGCATGTTTATTGGAAATACTTCCTAACTCTATGTTTTTACACAAAGGATTATAAGCAAAATTGACTGCTGGAGGGCGAGATATAAAAATGCAAGTCACTTAGGAAAAAAATGCCACTTTCTGCCTTATCTTAGTTCGGATTCGCAGCAATTACAACAGAATAGTCAGTGTGCCTCAGCCGTTACTGCAAGTCTCTCCATCTCATTTTCTCTGTGTTGCCTTGCAGCCGATCACAGTTTCAGTTCCTGCACCTTTTCCGCAAGCTGGAGTGTTGATAAGATCTATGTGAGAAAATAGTTGACGGAGAGCCTGAAGAGAAAACGTGGGGGGGAAGGGAAATGTTCTCACACATATGAGCACAAATCCTTGCATACATACATACTTAGCACCATCATGCATGCTCTTTCATGTAGCTGGAGAACACGTACACACTCACCTGTACTAGCAGCGTGTTCATAATGACATTAATCCAATTACAGGCTGCTAAGACGTTTGACCTCTCTGCATTTAGAACACCTCTCTGCAGTCTGTTGTTTGGTTCTTATTTTCTCCCGTGCCGCCCTTTGTTTTTGGAGTTATTGTTTTGACTCTACTGTGTTTTATCTCATCCCTTTCTGCTTGTGACATCGGTGCTATGTTGTATGGAGGCAAATTTCACAGACTGAAAGTTGCAGCATATTTCCAGTCAAACTGAAGGAATTGTTCCGAACACAAAGATGAATGATTTGCAGGGTGGATACTAACTAAAGAGACTGAAGAGCCGGGATCAGACCCACTGCCTTTTGTGCTAAAAATGGGTGTGGCTATCATGTGATGGATTTTTTTAGTAACCCTGAACTATTAATGAGAACCCTTCTTTTAAATGTCTTCAGTTTGTCCAACCTTTTGAGGTTTATATGAACATGAGAGCATTTTATATTCAAATCAGGTGCATATAACAATGTGAAACTATATTTGACTAAGATACTATTGTGGCGCTGACAGCTCATCAAATAAACCTTACACAGTTTGCTTACTATTCATATGTCATAGTTATTCGGTTATTTACATTTTGTTTTTCCTGACTGTTTCGGCTCAGTGTGACATTTCTTCTAAAGCTAGATTTTTGTATAGACACACCTTTCAGAGATTTGTGACCTATTTACGATTTCCATCTTTTATGGTTCCTCTACCTCCTTTCTGAAACATGAATAATACTAAATGACTCTAAAATGATACTAAAAATGATGAACTTCTTAGATTAGTAAAGGCATCTACACTGAAGAGTGGTATTAGCTCAACCTGGTTGCGCTTGAATATGATTACTCCTCTTAAGAAACTGATAATCACACCAGTCCAATCACTCGCTTTTTGTTTGTACATCCTTTCTTTGAAACATGGATTTTGAACTCTGTTTACCTTAACCTATTCTGAGGTTTTATTCTGCTTTAACTTTCCACCAAATGTGACGGGGTTTTTTTCCTCCTTCCTTGCTCTCCTTGGCTCCACCTGCCCGCCTCTGTTGCTTTCTCTGACAGGATTTGGAAATGGCTTTCACTTTCTTTCACACTTCTGTACATTGTCCTATCCTTTTCTTTTCCTGTGACATGCTTTTCCTTTACTGTCCCCAACCCTCAATATCCTTTGCCTCATTCCATTATATCTCCTTTTCCTTCTCTCAAATCCCCTCTGTCCCATGTTCAGCTCCTCCCCTCCTGTCTTCCAGTCTCCGCGCACCAGTAGGATATTACAGGATGTTCTCCCCACTTCCCCCAATCCATTCATTTCATGGTACTCCTTCTCACGTCCCTCCCCTCCCCACCTCTTTTCCCTTCCCCGCTGTCTTCTGCTCACATTTTTCCTCTCGCTGCACACTCGCAGTTTCTGCTCAGATTCTCATTTCACAGTCATTTATGGCAACCCTTCTTTAGTCGTCCGCTCTACACCAGTCTTGCTCAGTATTTCTCCTCTCCTCTCCCCCACAGTTCGTCTAGCCCTCATCTCATTTCCCTTCCTCTTGATTAGTTGACCCCTTTGACCGTTTCCATCTCCTCCCCCTTTCTGCTCGTCCTCCCCTGCTCTGTTTGTACGGCTCTTAGATGAGTTTACTGCAAACTTTTATCCATTCCCAGATTCAGCTTAAATCTGTGCAGCATCAGGCTCATCATGAATGTTTAATGGAAGAGAAGCATCCCTCCTGTATAGATGTGTTTTTGCCTTGTACAGTAATCACAAAGCAATTAAAAGGTGCTTGATACAATGTTTTCCAGTTTAGCTATATAGATTAATTCATGTACAACAGTTAGAGCGATGCATTAGAAAACAAAAGGGGAATGCTCTGTCTCAGATTTCCTCGCTAGCCTCTGCAGAGCAAGAGATTTTCCAATTGGAAACTGAGAAAAAATACAGAGGGATTGAGAGTGAGATGAACAGATGGCCTTATCAGGGAGTCCTGCGCCTTTTGTTTAGCTTGGACTCAGAAGGAGGAAAGAGGAAGCACATCATGGGAAGAGCAACAGTTACGCAGTATTTGTTAAAGTAGAATAAATTAATATAAGTTATTAAGTGAAGTTATATTGTAGCTTGTAGATGTTTGGTTAGAAGTGGTCCAGAGTTTTCCTCTGGGAGGTGTTTACATAAGCTCACGCCAAGCCATTGGCCTTAATACTGGAGGCATAAAAGTTACTCCCAGGAATGTATCTTTGGCTTAATATGTTGATGTTTAATTTAAAACCAATAGCACATTGCCAGCGGCTCATCAAACCTCCCTAAAAGGAATGAGACATTATTATTATTATTATTATTATTATTATTATATGTGGCAATTGGTTGTTCATAAAATGTACCAGCATTTTCTGTCTGACAATCACAAGTGTACACATGGGCAGTTGTCGAAGAGCTACTTGAACCGTGAACATTTGGAACTAACACTGTGTTTTTATGAAAATTGTCTCATATCCACTGTTGAGTATGGGAATGGATCTGTGATGCTGTGGGCTTGTTTCTTTCCAAAGGCCCTAGAAACCTTGAGTTGTCAATGGGCAAAAGCTACGTCTGGTTCAGGGCTTCAGCTTACGATTATTAAAGTCATAGATTATTCTATTGACTATTCTGACGATTAATCGATTAATTAGATTTTTTTTTAAATTGGCACATTCTGCAGAATTTTTCATTTATTTATTTGTTATACAATATTAGAAATACATTAAAAGATGCAAATAAACTTTTTATATATATATATATATATATATATATATATATATATATATATGTTATTGGCTAAAAGGCAATAACTCCAAATTCGTTTGGTGAATCCAGGATCATTTGTAACAAAAAATTCAAGTATAGAAAAAAAAAACTTTAACATCAACATGCTCAACCCTTTCTGTTTTACTTAACGTCTGTATACTGTCGGGTTGATGTTTGGATTAACTCATTAATAATTGAATAGCAAAAGGAGGGTAAGACATTTTTTGCTTTATAAGGAATTTGAACAGAGTGAAGTTCTGGGTTGAACACATTTACAGACAAAGGTGTTTTTCTTATCTTGCATACAAAACGCATATATTACACAGTTTTGGCTTCATTACTGCTCTAAATATATTCTTCTGCCCTAGTCCAATTTTTGTGCACTGTTAGTTTGAAGAGATGCTGGCAATATGCAAGGTCAGAGGTCAAGGTTTGGTGGAGGGGTGGGGGTCTGTTGCAGAGGCTGCTGTCAGAGCAGTAAAGCATTCCTTCCAGGCGATCATGACATCCGCCGTAAATATAAGGTCCTACATACTCTGCCGCAGTGCATTAGGCCACTGCTTTTCTGTTCTGTTTCACGTTTCTAAAGCAGAAAAATGTCTTAACTGGTCTTTGAAAGGATTTTATATATTTACTCGTGTCAAAGACGGTCCAGAGCGTTGAGGCGTGAGATCTGTATATATGCAAAGCTGGTAGAAACAGGCTCAGCAAAGCAATCGAGGCCAAATGTGCTGTGTTTACTCAGAGGCGCTGAACACAGTTTGAAACCATGTAGGAATCTCCTTCAGTTTCTCAGTTTTGCTCCATCTCGTGTTGGCCTGTCACTTAAGATCCAGATATAGCTGCACATCGAAGT